AACAGTCTGCCTTGTATGGTGGCTAAATCCAGAGCAATCCTTGCATTAGTCTATGTAGCCCAGTACAATCTGCTACCCCTCTTAGACTGTGGGTACGTCTCTATGGACACTTAGTTTGTGGAAGGCTGAGGTGTAAAGCAAACTTGTGCTAGCCTGCCAAGCACTAACTGGCCCTCTGGGCCCTGCTGCAATGCACTCAAAGTTCCTTAGTGCACTTTGACCCTGTTTCAAAGCAGGCACATCAAAGCACACTGGGAACTTTTAGTGTGTGGCAGGGTAGTGCGGGTACATTTATACCCTGGCTTGCCACAAACTAAGTGTTGAGATAGACATAGGTTTGCCAACTTGGTAATATTTAATAACTGGACACTCCATCAGAGTACTGAAACCTTCCCTGCCCCACATCTTTCCCTGGGGCTCCATCTCTTCTCCCCCCCTCCCAAGTCCACTCTTCTTCCTCCTTCAACTCCCCCTCCCCCATCGCTTGCTGCTTTTCCCCTCCCACCTCCCTGCCTGGGTCAGGAGGGACTCGCCTGCAGAGCTGGGGAGCCCTAGCTTTGTAGGGGCTGATGCGGGTGATGACCCAGCACCTCCCCATCCTGCAGTAACTGGACTTTAGGTGTTCGGTCAATAGATCTGACCGGACACTGTCAGGTCCCCTTTTTGACTGGACTTTCCAGTTGAAAACCAGGCACCTGGCCACCCTACATAGGCAAGCCCTGAGCCATTCATGAGGCTAGTCCCATTCTAAATCTCTATGCCACAGAAATTCACTTCTGGTTAGAATGTGGCCAGAGGGTTTGGTCCTTACCGGAACAGCACCTGGAGCAGTGATGTACAAAAGTCTATTTAGAAGCACAAAAAGTAGTGACTAAAAAGTCCTCACATTCTGGAGAGTGTCTCAGCAGCCATCCCTGTGTCACCGAAGCTGGAGCCCTCTTCACAAATAAGCAGACAGCTGATGTATGCAGTAACTTCCCAGAATGTTGTGTATCAGGAATTGGTGTGTGCACTAAATGTGGCTTCACGCAGCTTCTCTGGGTCCAGGAAGCTGCTGAGACAGAGAAACAATTAAATGATTAAAAATTCCAATAAATCCCAGAATTCAGTGCCCCTTCCAGCCTCTGACACACTCATCCCTGACATAAACAAAGCAATTAAATACCAAAGAGCTGCATTTCCCAGGTCGCTCCGATTTTTCTGAACTATAACTCAGCTGTCTGGACTCTGTTCTCCTCCTCAGCAGAGAGTGTCGGGGACCATATTGGCCTGAACCATGAATTTCCTGTGGTTTTAAAAATCTAAATTACTTCATTGTTTAAATGCTGTATCATATGCTGAACCCAAATTCAGAGAATATCCTACGCAGTATAAGGCGAATGCTAGTGTAGTCATTGGCAGCCAAACAGCTGCAGAGCCTGCATTTGCTTTGGGAAGCACATCCAGAGGTTCAGATACTTATCCAAACTTTCTGCAGCTATATACTTTCCGTGCCCCAGCTCCCCCCTCCCCACTGCTTGGTTATAGGAAGGGAAGGGAACAGCTTGCTCTTAACACTTCCCTATGCAAAGCCCTGGTCACATTTTCCAGGGGGCTGACAGGCCTGCTTCCATTTCTTTGTGCAGCTGGCCTGCAGATAGACCATTCTCTCCCAGATTCCCAGAGCAGCCCCGTTCTGGGGTGGGCCCCCTGCCTGCTGGGTCACCTGGGAGCTTGCTGCTATTCCTTTAAGCATGTGTCACTGAGGCTGTCTGGGAGCTGCCCTTCCGGGGAGTGATCAAAGTTTCTCAGTAGCCCATGGGTCCCAGGGCAGGTTCACAACCAGACCTAGAAAAGAGGCCACCTAGACTGAGCTTCCTGGTTTGACCCTTCCCTCCTCAGGCTCCCTTTTAATAGTGGCTCGTCTTGCATGAGGCCATTTGAAAGGGACATTTTTCTCCCATGCTGCTGTGGTCTCCGGGGCAGTGGTCGGGCTATACTTCAAGCAGATGGCTCAGTTTATTACAGAAATGTGCCTTTTTGGTTCCTTTGCTAGGACAACTCTAAACACCTTGGAATTCCTCAACTGAATCCCCGGCCCCCCGGTAGCTGGCCCGTTCCATTTGGGGGAGACAGGCAGCTGCAGCCATCCGTGTCTGTCCTGCATCGGGCTGCAGCTTGCTGCACTTCCTTCCTTTCCAGCTGGATAATATTCTGAGCTCCTGTTTCCCCTTCCATTCCTGAGGAGATGGCGCAGTCGTGCAGGCAGTGAGTGAAAACTCAGGGCTGAGACTACTAAAGCCCATGGGCTCTGCTCTTCCCTTAAAAGCAAAAGGGGAGCGGAGGGCCATGCACTTAAATGCTTGGGTCAGCTGCTCAGGGAGAGAACCGGCTTCCCCAAAGGGAGCACTGTGCATGACTGCTCCACTCCTGATCACCTGGGGAAGAAAGATCCTCTTTGACGCTGCTGCTGTTTCTCCTTCTTCCCAGCCAAATCCTGATGTCTGAAGGATGTTTAATATGTGGCTTGTACTGTCACGTGCTGAGATGAGAGGCTGAGAATTAAAGGCGGAGGCAGCTTCCAGTTATAAAGCAGGTTTTTGATCCCTCAGTCAAATTTTACCCAAAATAAACCTACCCACCTGTAAAACTTCAGCTGGGTTCTGCCACCAGCCTAGTTCTCCTAGGAATCCTGTGAGGCAAATTGGAAAAGAGGGTTGGGTGACATGAGGGGTCCAAAACTGAGCTGATTAATTTCTTGAGAAGTTTCCTACTCAGAACTCTGAGGGGAAACTCAAACTTGTTCTGGTTGGCTGGGCTTGTGCGGCCATTCACTCTGGTTCTGTCGGTCTGCGGGGTGGTAACTTTTGAACGCTTCAGCCAATCAATTCCAAAATTGCAGGGAATGTTCCAGCCAGCCGTGGCCAGAATCCTATTGATTGCAGGGAAAATCAGAAAACTGAAAGGGGGGAAATGGGGAGTATATGGAGCCCCTGTCCTTTGTTTAGCTTCAAGCACCTCTGCAATTGTCTATGGATCAAACAACTGGATGAAGGCCTTCAAGCGTAAGGAGAGCCCTTCTTGTCCTCCCAAGAGAAACTAACTTATGGACACCCAGACAAATAACAACCACAGGGTACAGGATGGGGGGATTCTGGTTTGGGGGTGGGAGAATGGGGAGTGCACAACTCCTGGCAGTGGGAGAATGCACAAGTCCCTACAATAGAGGGAGATGTGAGGGTGGCATCTGGGAAGATTGTGGGGGGGCTGCCAGGAGCACCTCATGTGTGCAGTGCACTCTCCCTATACAAGCTGTAAGTGTATGACACGCTAATCTATTGGTCTGGATGAGGACTGGTGCAGGTGGCGTTAAGTGTTAGAACTTTCATAGATTAGAATAGGTGCCTTCAGGGGAAGCTTTGCACCTTAAAGCAGCTAAAGTTTCTTCCTTTAGGCATGTGTGGGGTTCGTAAGTGCACAGCTCCTCTTACAGAGCTTGGGGAACCCTGCGGCAGCCAGATGGGAGCTTCTCCACCCGTGCACGAGTGTTTAGGAGCCTCTCCCACTCTGTGAGCCATGAAGAGTTCCTCCTTTGGGTGCCACACGGGAAGCTCCCATCTGGATGGTATGGAGAGCCAATGACCCCAACCCTCACTCCTCTAGCAAACTCCCAAGTTCTAGCCTATCTCAGTCAGGCTGTAATTCTTTGCACTGTAGCACTTAGGGAACTGCTTCCATTTTACATATGGAAGACTGGAGCTCAGAGGGGGTCACAGCAAGTCAGAGTTAGAACCCACATCTCAGAGTCCCTGTGTGTGTTCCTGGATCGCTTGTCTAGGAGCTGGCTGGTGCCTAGCTTCACTCTGAACTAGTATTCCAGCTGGTGAGGTCAGGTAATGGCAGTACCACCTCGTTGATCAGTGCTGTAGCTGATGGTGATGTCACTAAGCATCCAGGCTGTAGCATGTGCCTGCTGGAGGATCTATTCTAGAAGTGTCCTGATCTGTCTCTAGGGTACTGACACGGTCCCCATCACCGTAGTATCTGAGTATCTCAGTCTTTCCTGTCTCTCTCCTCATGCACCCTGTGAGGCAGGGCAGTTAGCCTCAGCTCCCCAGCGGTACAGTGGGGATAAGTGACGTGCCCAAGGTCACACAGGGAGTCTGTGGCAGAGCAGGGAACTGAACCAGTGGGCCATCCCTCATCTCTGGCAAACGTGTGCAGGCAGAATGACCAAGGGAAGGAGGAGTTGGAAGTGTCCATAAAACACCTTCTGTGTCTGGTAACCCTCTGGCTTCACTATCCAGAGACCATTGCTGACATAGCCCTGAGACCCACCCCGCTCCCCCTGAGGCCATGAGTGGGGAGAGCAGAGCACTAGGACTGTATTTGCAGAGGCAGCAGCAGTCTGATTCCATCTAAGACAAGCAAGTCCTTTCCTGTCCTCACAGCATGCCTAGAGACCAGCTTCCTGTCACCCACAGTCCTGAGGAACCCTCCCCCTGTGGAAATAGTGTATAAATGTGTTTACCATTTCCCATCCTGCTGCTAGACAGCTGAGAGCTTGTCGACAAATGGGGGTGTGACACTACATCCTCCTAGGACAGTTCAGGCAAGTGCCCCCCCTCCGACCTGCAGAGGAGAGGGGCAAAAGCTTGCACGCATCCATATGAGGGGCTAGCTGGGCAGGTTCACTCACCTGTCCTCACTGGAAGGTGGGAGCAACTAACTCTTCTAAGTCTAAGCTAGATCCCTAGCAGCCGACTTCTGGTCCTCGCAGGAGACCATGCTCTGAGGCCTGTTTAGTGCGTGTCCCCTCCCTCCCCCCCACTGGCAGGCACTGCCCTCACAGTGAGTGCAGACCACTGCTCCCTGCTGGTGGGGGAGTCGGCACATTGCCCTGGGCTGCACAGATCTGCAGGTGCTGCCTTACCTTTCTGGGCAGGTGCATGCAGTGTTTTGTGCACCCCTCCTGAGGCAGCTCAGGTGCTAACACTCTCCTCTCCCACCTCTGTTCTTAGTGAAGTTCATGCGGGAAGTGACTCCCTACATTAAGAAGCCGTCGCTGGTGTCAGACCTCCCGTGGGACGGGGCAGCTCCCCAGTCACCGAGCCTGAGTGGCAGTGAGGACTCCGGCTCCCCGAAGCACTACAATGGCACCAAAGACAGGAAGGTGATCCCTCTGAAAATGTGCTTCGCCGCCAGGAACTTGAGCATGCCGGACCTGGAGAACAGGTGAGCTGGAGCCTAGGGAGACAGAGGCCTTGGCGTGTAGCAGGCTGCTCTGGGCCTATCTGCCTGGCATTTTGGGTGCAGGGAGGAGTGTTGACACAGGCTGGCGGGACATGCAAGGTGAGAAATGATCCCTTTTTGGCTGCTTTGCAATGTGTAAAGGAGTCTGGAAGACTTTTAAAAAGCTGCTTTTTCTGCTTGGCTTCTATCTGAATGTCAGGAATGTGGAGCCTCATGTGTCTGTTTTCCTGGAGGGCTCTTGGGAGGCCAGAGAACTGCAGGAGTGTCCCAGGCCCTAGTTATGGGGGTAGGAGTGTCTGAGTCTTTCAGAGACTTTTCTCCCAGGTGCCCATAGGAGCTGGAGTTAAATGGGTGCTTACAAAGACAAACAGGGTTTGATTTCCCCCCCCCCCCACTTGCAAGCCCTTGTGATGTCAAAGTCCTGCTAGATCTATTTGTTTTGAATCCTCCAGCAAACAAAGGCAGATATGAGACACCTGCATTCCTGATGCAAAACCAACCAGGAAAAACACACCAGACTTTGGCTGTATGTCAGGAAAGGGCACAGATGTTTCTCTTCCCTTGTAGGCCCCCTTAGGTGCGAGAGATTCAATGACATGGGTTTGTTCCTTCAGGCAGGTGGGGGGAGCTGTTCTGTTTATCACTGTGATGAACAGGTGGGAGTCGGGTCTGCGCTGGGTCCCCCAGCAGTGCGAATGCCTTTGCAGCTGACTTTGTGGCAGCAGCAATGGGGCTTTCTACAAGAGAGGCTGATGCTGCCTTGAGTGAGCTGTGAAGCTGGTGGCCTGACTGTTTGTACTTCCCGACATTCGAGGTGGTAACCCTGCCGCTGGTTCGTTCTCGGCCAGGTAACTTCATCTCAAGGGGTGCTGATCCTGCCTGGGTAGAGGATAGAGCTAGGAGTCAGGAGACCTGCATTCTAACGCTGCCTGCAGCTCAGACTCCTCTGACCTAGCACAGTCACGTCACTTCCCTGGGCCAGTTCTTACCCTCCTACACTTGCAGGGTGATGTGAGGGTTAACCGGCCCGGTTTTGGAGAGCTGAGCTCTTCAGCTGGGAGGTGCTATAAAGGGGTCATTATTTCACATAAGTCCCCCCCGGCAGTTGCAGGAGGATCTGGCAGTGTTGACTTCCTGCCCCAAAGCGTTCAGTGAGGAGCCTGCGTTCCACCCCAGAAGTAGCTGTTTCATAGGTGGGTGTGGTTATTCCTTATCTGCCACAAAGTGGGAGTTGGGAGCCTTAACTAGTGCACGTGACCCAAGTGGATTGAGTCAAAGGTGATATACAAGTGCAAGGCTCCTCCTTTGGCTGTATTAACTTGCACCCAGGGTCCCGAACACAGTTAGGGCTCCGTTGTGCCAGGTGCTGTACACCCACAGGGAGGCCTGTGGAGCTGAATGACCCAGCGCCTGACACACATGGGGTGGGAAGGTGAGGGGAGCATCTAGGTCCATGGCCACAGGGGCCATCTGTGCAGATAGATGCTGCAGATCCCACTGCTGCTCGTTCGCAGTCACAGCAGAGATGCGTCTGGAGAAGCGGGGTTGTGATCCATCTAGTTCAGCTGTGTCTCTGCTTGCAGCCAGGTTACGTGTAACGCCTGCGTGTTTAGCGTCTGGTTGAAGACAAAGTGTCCTCTCCTGGTGCCTTTTGGGAGGTGCTGGCTGGCTGGGTGTCCACAGGATGTTTGGCTAATCTGCGTGTTGAACTCTTTCCATGGAGAAGATACCTGGCCTTGCGCCACACGCACACTCCAGCGGAAATGGCAGTTCCTCTGCTGGTCCGTGTCCCCGGGATCGGCTCTGGAGACGATGCTCGAGCTTCAGCTAAGCAGCAGAAGATGGACTAAAGGAGACTTAGGGTGGGAACAGCTGCGCCTCAGGCCAATCTCCTGATTCACTCATCAAATCGTAACTGCAGCTTGCAGGAAATTCTCAGTGGTTTGGCTACCAACCAGGTCTCTCCACTCAGCGCCTCTCCTCCCCCCAGCTGGCTGGCTGCTGCGTGGGACAGGCAGTGTTTGCATTTTGCTGTCCTCCTGGGGTAGAAGGCTCCAGCTCAGGGAAGGATGCAAATCCCCACATCTAAATTGCCTTTCTGGCAGTTTAACTTTCTTCTAAAACAAAGTTGAGATGGATTTGGGCTGAATCTCACCCAGACCTTCCCCTGCTCTGGTAGCGCCCGTCTGCCCTGTCACACACCTGCCAGGTGGGGGCGGTATTGCATGTAGTCCTGCCAGTGAGTGGTGGTTGGGGGCAGTTAGAGGCTATTAGTGATCCTGTTGGGTGCGTGTGTGTCGGGGGGGGGGGAATCTTGGTTGTGCTTATTTTCATTCTCTGCCCTTGCCACCTCTTCTTTGTACCTGCCAAGTGGCTGTATCGTATGTCCAGCTGGGGGCAGAGTTGGAATGTCACACCTAGTCCATGGTCCCAGAGCAGCTGCACTTTCCTGTTGAAAAGAGAGTTGACAACTGTGTATCTGTCCAGTACTTATCAGGGTTCAGAGTTAACCTGTTGAACTGGCCCTTGGACCTGTAGTTCACCCCTGCAGATTCTGTTGGGTGCATCTGGAAAGATTTCCTCAACCACCTGGGCTTCGTTAAAAGGAAAGGTTAAATTCTGTAAAAACAGATGAGGCCTCTGGAGCCAGATTGGCGTGGCCTGTGTGAGCAGGCTCTGGCATGGAGGCGGGGCAAATGAGCAGCATTGGTTGGCAGTACTGGGTAAGCAGTGATGTCCCAAACTGCGCTCTGCTGCAGGAAACTTGCTGCTTGGAACTTGCTTCTCCTCTCAGTGTGTTGCTGAGCATTTGAACTGATTCCCCGTTTGCCCAGGAGGTGGCTGGGCCCTGCCATGCAGAGTGGGGTTGCATTGCTGAGCTCTGAGAGTCGGGTTTGTCATTAGAGGGAGGAAATGACACTAATCACTTCCCCTTGTTTTCCCTGTATCTGTCATTACCTATGCAAAGCCCTCCCCTGGGTGCTAGGAACCAGGGAAATACTGTCAGGCTGTCACTGATGGGGACGTTGCTATAGCTAGAAAGTACTTAATCTTCAGGGGGTTGTGCTGCCCCGGTTGTGTAGGGCCGATTACCTGATCTCCTGGGCCAAGCAGGTCTGACACTTACTGCAGGACCAGTTTCCAAGGTGGTGTCCCTTCACCGTCCCATGCTGCCCACACATCCCTGCTGGGAGGCTGCCTCCCACTCAACTCTTGGGAACAGTCATGGCCAAGCTACAGGGTTTTTGCAGCATGCAGGCTGCCTTTTGCAGGACTCTCCCTCAATGCTCCCATGAGAAGATCTTGGCCAGGAATAGTTTGACTTGGTACCTTTGCCCCACCAGCATCTCTGTCCTGGCACAGAGTTGGTCCACGATGGAAACGACTAAGGTTTCCGGCCTGCGCGTCCCTTTCTGAACAGGGCAGAATCTCCCTTGCAGACTCCTCTTAACTAGGTGGTGGGGAATGTAACGCCATCTCTGCCGAGTCATCTGCCCCTTTGCTTTAAGCTGCACAACTTGGCACGCTTGTGCGTTGGTGGGTGGACATGTGAAAGAGCCGTAATGGCTTCAGTACTAACGTGACGGGGGGGGCGGGGCAGGAAAACAGCGTCTCTTTAGAATGCCCATGGAATTAAATTGCCAGAAATGTACATGGGCGAGTAAGAGCTAACTGCTCGTATGTCCTGAACTCAGAACAGTATTTGTTCTCAACTGGGAGAGACCGCTTCCACAGCGCAATTCGCACTCCCGAGGCTAACGTGCTGGTGTAAGGTGAGCCACCCTTTCCAGCACTGCTGGAGTTCGTGCCAGCATAGGTGCTTGTGCAGGCTCTGCACAGACATTTTCAGCACCATGTCCTAATGCTGGGAGGTTTTCATGGGGCTGAGCTATCCAAAGCCCCTTGGCACTGGCACCAGTGCCGAGAATGGGAGTGGGATACTGGAGCTGGGAGAGAATGCAGTGTCAGTGTAAATAACAGTGGCCAAGAGCGTAATGATGGCTTTGTCTGTCCTTGGAGAGCCAGCAAGCAACCCAGTCTGCATAGCTGTGGAAAGCCAAGTGAGCTCTGACATGCACACTGCTGACCTGGAGGGCTCGAAATGCCTCCCCTGTAGCTTGTGTGGGATGAGGAGTGTAGTCCAAGGGTACGTCTACACTTCAATCAAGAACCCGTGGCACAGAGTCCCAGACCCTGGGGCAATTGACTCTGGCTCGTGGGGCTCAGGCTGTGGCACTAAGAACTGCAGTGTAGACACTGAGACCCCATGTGGGGGGAGGGTCTCAGAGCCTGGCCTCCAGCCTGAGCCCAACCATCTAGACTGCAATTTTTAGCCCCATAAGACATAGTCAGCTGACCTGGGCCATCCATGGCTGGGCCACAGGTCTTTTATTGCAGTGTGGTGGACCCCAAGTGTCTGGATCTGCTGTGCTGCTTCTGTGTCCTTGCAAGACTGAATTTCCAGCACTGGAGCATTCCCCAAAGCTGCGGCCTGGTACCAAGAAAGCGTTAAAAGTAGCAGCAGTTCATAAAGGGCTTGGGCCAGGATTGTCCCTGGGCTAGCACCATAGCGATGTGTGCTGAGATCATGAGCTTCCTGATACCATTCACAATTCACTGCATAGTGCTGCTGGTTACTAAGCCAGTCTGTACCCCTGGGTTCCCAGGCAAGCAGCACCCTGGCAAGTAGAACTTTCCAGCCAGACTCAAGCGCAAAGTCTCCCCGTCTCCCAGGACTTGACAAGGAGGTGAGCCTCTGAGGAGCTGTGTGACCAGAGGTCTGAGCTGTGCTCTGGACCTAGACAAAGGCAGCACCAATTCCCTGTGTAGGGTCCTGCAGCACAGGCAAGTGGGAAGGGCGCAGAGAGTTGTCCTGGGGTTCCCATCAGGATCAGAGTGAACTGCATTTAGCCTGTGTTTGGAGAATGCAAATCCAATTACACAACCCCCGCTCATCCAGGTGGAAATAAGCTGCGGCTGCAAAAGGCTTTTGTCACGCTGTATCTGCTGCCTCTCCGGAGTTCTGCAGCAGGATTCTGCACTGACTTTGCACACTGGTGGCTTCCCGCGAGGAGCGGTGCACACGCTCCTGTCTCAAAGCTAGCCAGCCCCAATGTACTTTTAAGCACATGGACTCGTTTCTACGTGTTCTGTGGCTTCACGCCTGCTTCTCTGTTGTGCTAAGAGGATGGTAGGCAGCTTGCCTTTGGGTGGCATTTGTACAACTTCCATTCCACTTAATAGCCCATCTCAGACATTTCGCGGTTACAATCTCATCCCTGTAGCTGCTTGTCAACAGGTGATTGCCCCCTAAGTCCAGCTGGGCTCCTGATTTGCCAGCAGTCTAATTAATAGCCGCTCTGTACTATGCACGCATCCCCAGATCCAAGAAGGTAACTGTGGAGAAAGGTACGTCAGCTTTAACTGATGGTGGGAATTGTTGGCTTTCAGAGCGCTCCCATCATGTCCTGACTTAGGCATCATAAGGAGCAGATGTGTCTGCAGCAGTTTGGCAGGGCTAGTCTGTTCTGGGTTCTGTAGCTACTGATTGAAGGGCAGAGGAGGTGAGAAGCCTGTGTGCTGCATCTGCATTCCAGGGAGGGAAGAGATGCCAGCTCGCCCTTTAGTATCTGTCTCTCTAATAGCCTGTGCATGAGCAATTGGGTGAGAAGCCAGGCAGGGATCTGGGCTGGGCACCCCCGCTGCTCTGAGGGATGCTGAGCTGCCTCCCAAACCCTCTGAGTGCCGGCAAGCGCTGGGCCAGTGCTCGCTTACTTCCTGAGCTCTCAGATGTTGCATCAGCTCCTGGCAGGGCTGCCTGACAGCTAAGATTAGAAAGCTCTGTAATCTTTTAATCAGTGGCACAGCTTCTCAGCCAGCTGAGGGAGAGGATGATTCACGAGGCATCCCCCTGCCCTAGCAGAGCGGGGATCGTCACCGCCTCCGGGGCTGCGGGTCTCATAAGCACCTGGACAGATGAGTTTCCAGACAGTGTTCTGCCACGCAGCACTGGAATTCCATCCTGCCACAGAGCCAACTTTGCCCTACCCTCCGTCCCTGTGGTGAAGTCTATGTGAGCGCTGCCTGGGCTGCTCGTAGATGACCCCAGCCAGGGGCTCTCCCTAGCAAACACCAAAGGGCTAAGGGTTCATTTGAGCGTTTCATGTGTACTTTTCTTGGGGAGCCAAACCCCACTGATGTAGGGTGTGTCTGCTGCAGGGCTTCCGCGTTCCCCCTCTGCCTTAGCCCGGCTGCACTTCTCAGCCTAGCTCTCTCTCTTCCTATTCAGGTTGATAGAGCTGCACTCACCAGACAGCAGAAACACCCTGATCCTGCGGTGCAAAGACACAGCGACAGCACACTCCTGGTTCACGGCCATCCACACCAACATCATGGCCCTCCTCCCTCAGGTGCTGGCTGAACTCAATGCCATGCTAGGTGCCAACAATGCCACAGGAAGTAGCAAGGAGGTCAAACACATCGCTTGGCTGGCGGAACAGGTATGCAGAGATGGAGGGCTCCTGCTGTCTTGACCTTATTTGGGTAGAACTCATTTTTACAGGTGTGGTAGCAGTGCAGTCTAGCACTCTGCTTAAGGTGTAGCTGTGAAGAGATTAGCTTTCATTGGCAGGCATGGGAGAAGGTCAGCACTGCAGAGATTACAGCACTTTGGTAGCGGCTCGTGTGTTTTCAGTTCTCCTTTCTCCACTTACTACTGTGAGCCTAGAAGCCAGCTCAATAATGGAATCCAATGGCAGCCGGAGCTGTGGGAGAGACCTGTCCAGGGAGGGATTTGTGCCAATCCAGTTTTGAAAATGTAACTTCTACCTAAAAACATCCTGACCCAATTAATGTTTCAGAGACGGCTTTCATCTCTGCCCGGCAGGCCACAGCTCCGGTAACCCTCCTCTCCTCTGGAGGTGTGGCCCCTACCGACCCTGCAGGGGCATGTGCTGTAGTAGTGTTTGCCTGTTGTAGACAGGGCTGTAACCTCCTCACAGGCTTCCCATGCCTGTTGTGGACGGGTTGTGTGCAGGGTTTGTTCTGATTCTCAGCAGTGTCAGTGCAAGCCTGATCTCATTCCTAGCAGCACTAGGATGGTGCTTCAGTCAGCAGCTTTGCATGCACACAGGGCTCCAGAATTTCCCATCTGAGTGTCTGTCCTCTTTCTCTCAATAATTCATTTCCCCTTTAGTCAAAACCTCACCTGATGCTCTTCCTCTTTATTTAAAGGCGCTATGCGTATGCAGTTGTCTTACTGCCCTCCACGTGCAATAAAACGCCTCCTTTCTAGGTGGGAGTTCATGCTCCAAGTGCCAATTTCACACTTGATCCTAGGCTGGCAGAGCTTTCTAGCTCCTGATGCTTGGGTATCTGTGCACCATTGTGCATGCATCCCTTGGATAACTAGACTGGCAGGAAAGGGGTGGCAATGCCATAATCTTAATGGGGATGAAAGATGGTTAAAGCAGAGACCTGGGGTCTGTGCACAGCCCTGTCACCGAGTCACGTGGCTGTGGCAAATCGACCACTCTGTCCATCTAGTAATGGAGTTGAGAACCCTCTTTGGAGCTAGGAAAAGTAACTTGCTTATACTGAAGTGCTTTGAGATCCTTGGGTACCAGGCGCTATGCAAAGCAAAGTGTTGTTGTGGGTAGGAAGACCTGGTAAAGCAGAGGCCATTCCTCACAGGTCATTGGGAGGGACAGTTCGGGTTCAATCTTGTGAAGTCCATGGACTTTTCTTGAGGTCCCATAACCTGGTGCTCAGCCAGGCACACAACTATTTTGCTGTGCAGCTGGGCCCTGAAACTAATGCCAGCAAAGCTACGTGTTGAACCATTGTGAACATGAAACCCCCTCACGTTTCACGGAGCCTGCACTTCCTTCCCAGGGCTGTGTTCAGTTTCCAGTTAAAGATGTTAAACGTTTGGCAGCTCCAAGCTTCCTAGATCCTCTTCAGAGTGGCCTGGAGCGTTTGTTTCTGCAGATAAGAGGAGACAAAGGAGAGTCTGTGGGGGCGGAATGTCCTGTGTATTTAAGCCAGTCACTTGATGTCAGCTGTTGGACACATGGGCTAGTGGCTAAAGCACATGGCCAAGAGTTAGGTCTGGAATCTGCCACAGACCATGGCTTTGGGCAAGTCAGTGACTTTCTGCCTCCACTTCCCAGTCTGACATAGGGGTCATGTTGACCTAACTCCCAGGGTTTGCAAAGGTTAATTTCTGTTGTAAATATTCTCAAGCAATGCACTCCTCCTGTGTGCAGTATGAAAACCGCAACCTTGCAGAGTTAAAGGGCTGTACGTTGTGCAGCAGTGCAGAAAACCCAGCAATGGGAACAGCCTCCCACAAGGTATTCAGGCAGGTGAGCATTTTAACAGCTAAAGGAAGGTAGGCCTCTCTCCACACGGGCAGACCACTATTCCAATGGGATGATCCCCCACGGGCCAGTGGGACTGTGTCCTGCGAAGTGTTGCTGTGACAACAAGGAATTAGTTGGAACATCAGGTCGGGGTCGATTGTGCTCACTGTCCCACTGCTGCAGGAGGCACTGTGGCTGCCCGTGGTCCCCACACCTGGAACGCTGGGATGGCTTTACCAGAGGAGTCTGCGACTCCAGAAGCATTTGTGAAGCACTTCGCATTCCACCTCAGGAGCCCAGAGAGGGCTGGCCAGGTTCACAGCAAGCTGGGCTTATACCCTCTGGGCTGTGCTCCTGTCCTGTTCCCTGCCCTCATGTGATGGGTGATAGTCTGAGTGGGTGGAAGCCAGTGCTCACCCTGCGCGGCTTTCCACTGGGGTGGTGAATCCTGTCGAAAGGCCTGAGCTCTCCCAGCTGCTGTGTGATCAGGACTGACTGACCGCATCTAGTGGTGGCCCCGGGGAGGGATCTGCGCGGCAGGTTCTGAGTGTCAGTCTGATGCCCACGCAGCATGAGCCCTCGACCATGGGATTTGCCCAGTCACCGAGGAGTTAGAACTATAGTCCCAGACTTTCCCTTCCGTGAATTTGCTGATCCCAAAGCTACAGTTTATCCTTGACCTTGTAAGTGTTTTCTTGGCCTGTTAAGAGCTGAGCTGTGGCCTCCCTGGCATGGGATCTCCCGGATGGCTGGGCCCATTAGTGCCTTGCTGGCATTCCTCAGATGATGAGTTAACACATTCCCACACCATAGTAATAAAGAGCCCACTTGACCCAGAGTCAGATTAGACTCTTCGGTGCCTGCTTCTTAGGGCGCCACTCCACAGCCAAGTTATTCATACGGCACAACAACATGCTGCTTGCTTCAGACAGGGCCTGGCTCCAGGCGTGAAGGGAAATCCACTCTCATTAATTTTCCAGGTTATTTTTTGCCCTAGTGCTGTTGATCTCTCTGAGTAGATCGCCTCACCCAGGGAGGGGAGGCGAGCACAAGCGTCATGGATTGATTCCACATGAGGTCAGACAAGAGCCCTACAGCACATTGCCTGATCCCAGTGTGCCCCATGGAGAGGGGGAGGCACTGGGCTCTGCTGCTAGGAGGGAGGGAGAGGCAGGAACTGAGGGTAGAAAAACTCCGAACTCGGCTCACTACTCCCTTCCTTAGTCTACATCGCCCCGTCTGCTCTGTTACTCAGGCTCCTCTCCCCTCTGCCACTGGCACATTGTGACTTCCTTAACAGATGCACTACTCAGGAATGTCCTTTGGCCCCAGACTGCAGATCTTAGATGCTCCCAAATGAGGATCCTTTGCCCCCGGCGGGCAGCACACACTGCTTCCTGGACTGCATGTTAACCGCTCTCTCGCCTTCTTGCAGGCTAGACTAGATGGAGGAAGGCAGCAGTGGCGGCCCATCCTCATGGCTATGACAGAGAAGGACTTGCTGCTCTATGATTGTATGCCCTGGACAAGAGACGCATGGGCATCACCTTGCCATAGCTACCCTCTTGTTGCTACCAGGTAAGATCCAAGTTGCCTGGAAGGACATTTCTTTGATGACCTAAACCCTACCCCGTACAGTGAAAGCCTTTCCCGCTTAGCGCTTTTCAACCACCAGTCTCCAAGCACTTTGGAAAGATGCAGCTTTTCAGGGGAAATTGAGGCACAGAGTTGGGACGTGACTTCCCCAGTGTCATGCAGTGAGTCTGACTGCTAGGATCAAACCTCTGGCCTCTGCCCAGTCTTCAGTCCGCTAAACCACAGCTTCCTCAGCCCACAGCTCCAGCCAGGGCATTGCTGGAATAACATAGCTTGGGTCCTTCCTTGTTTTGCTGCTGATAGGCCTCTCAACAGCTCCTCACCTGCTAGGGTTGCCAACTGTCTAACCACACAAACCCAAACACCCTTGCCCCGCTCCATGGCCCTGCCCCTTCTCTGATGCCCCACCCCGCTCACTCCAGCCCTCCTCCCTCCGTTGCTTGCTCTCCCCTGCCCTCACTCAGTTTCATTGGGCTGGGGCAGAGGGGGTGGTGCGGGCTCTGGGCTGGGGCAGAGGTGTTCAGAGTGTGGGAGGGGGCTCCGGGCTGAGCCTGGGGCAGGGGATTGGGGTGCAGGAGGGGATGTGGGGTGCAAGCTCTGGGAGGGAGTTTGGGTGCAGGAGGGGGCTAAGGGCTGGGGGAGGCAGTTTGAGTGCGGGAGGGGGTTGGGGTGCGGGAGAAGGTGAGGAGTGCGGGCACCGGCTGGGCGGTGCTTACTTCAGGCAGCTCCTGGGCAGCGGCTCAGCAGGTCTAAGGCAGGGTCCCTGCCCGCCCTGACCCCGTGCCGCTCCCATAAGCAGCTGGCATATCCCTGCAGCCCCTGGGAGGGTCAGGGGGCTCCGCACACTGCCCCTGCCTGCAGGCACTGACCCCGCAGCTCCCATTGTCCGCAGTTCCCGGCCAATGGGAGCTGCCGAGTTGGTGCTCGGGGCATGGGCAGCGGACGGACACACACGCACCCTGCGGCCTCAGGAACGTGCTGGCCACTTCTGGGAGTGGTGCGGGCCAGGGCAGGCAGAGAGCCTGCCTTAGCCCCGCTGTGCTGCCAGACTTTTAGTGGCTTCAAATCTCCCGGTTTGGCTTCAGTAGCCTCTAGGAGATAGAGCCTGATTCCAGGAGACTCCCAGTGAAACCGGGTGGGTTGGCAACCCTAGCTGGGGCATGTGAGAGCCCTGCTTCTTTCTGTGCTGAGCCTGAGATGAGAGCGCCAGTGCACACTCATCACTGCTGGTGGGCCAGGACCCTAGGATGTGAGTATTTGAATACTAGCCCAGTCACTTCCCTAGCTGTTATCAGTCAGTCGGCCACCTTGCTCCAAGCCTTGGGCTGCTTTTCCTTTCGACTGCAACCTGGAACTTCCTTCCATTGCAGTGACAGGATTTCCTTAGTGTAGGACGACTTCCACCTGGTCAAATCCCACTGCTCTGGGAGGGGTCCCACCTGCAGAGTAACTGTCGGGTTTGGATTTGCATTCCAAGGGTGATGGGTGGAAACTGGCACTTGCCCTGCACAGTTTGCAAATCATTCTTGTGATTGGCCAGCGAGAGCTGGGGGAGTACCGATCAGAGTAGCCGAGGCAGCCCTCCCACAAACATTGCTCAGTGGCAGGACTGCCAGTAGCTATTACCTCTCTGGCAAATCAGCAGAGACTGGGCTGCTCTTCGTAGTAGCAAGTGGGAGAGTCAGGGGAGGGCTAGCTGTGCTCAGGCCATCCCTCTCAGCCACCATCGCTAGTGGCTTTGGGTTTTGGCTCCCATTCGCTCACACAGCAATGCAGGCCTCTGATAAATCACCTGGTAAAAGGCCACTTTCGTCCAGTTGCTCTTGTTGGGCCCATAACTCTGATTCTTTTTCTTAATGTGGCCAGCAGCCCAGAGCAACCCTGTAATAAGCCAGCGTGTGTGGCCCAGCCCTCCCAGGAGCCGTAAGCCAGCAAGGCACTGGGCATTGGGGGAAAGGGATCTCAAACTCTCAGGGATTCTGCAAGATGGTGACGTTATTCGTAAATGACACGGAATGCTCAAGCTGAAGGATGAGACAGACTTAGCAGTAGGCACTCAAACACTAATACAGAGCTGCAAACATTCCAGCTCCTGAGGAGTTTGCTTACAGCGTAAGAGTCTTTCTGTAAACTGATGCACTCCTGCTTTGAGCACTGAGAGAATGAGTCCTTGCCTCTCCCAGCCCTGCCATGGCGTTCATTCCAGTCCCACACAGAACCCAGCCCTGTGGCCCAAGCACAGACCAAGAGGCGAAGGTGGCCACCATGAAGCTCTGGCTACTGGAATACCATGAACAGCTAATGCTCACCTGGAAATCAGGCTGCCCAGCGTGGGTATCCCTGGGAGGTGCTGGTGAGCTAAGGACTGGTGAAACCAGTCTTGGCTGCCTGGCAGCATCTGCAGAAAGCATGTGCTCCTGCTGGAGTCCATGCCAAGCTTTAGCCTTCTCTGTGGAGACCTCAGTGTCATTACTGCCCTGCTAACTCCTTCCATGATGATCTATGGGGCAGGGTGCATGTGTGTTCTCCTCCCAGGCCCACTCTTGCCACCTGTCCCGCAAGTGAAAGGGAGCAGAGCATGGTGTGCTGACAAGCCTGTATTTCAAACAGCCATTACAGCCTCCAAAACAGGAGTGTTTAGTTGTTGTTGGGGCAGGGAGCGCAGCTGCTGTGATCAGAGCAGGGGCCCACTGACATAGGAGGGGCTGCAGGCTCTCGGCATGGTGAGATGTCTGCATGCATCTTGCATTGGGCTTCTTGAGAGCTGGGAAGGGGCTCTTGGTTACGTACCTTTTCATTTCTAGCCCTGTCTCCCAGTCCTCCTGGCTTTGCTACTTTGCTAGCAGCCTGAGTCCTGCCTTGCTGGGAGCTGGAGGGGCTGTCATGCTGCCAGAGAAAAGGTTCGGCCTGCCTGAGCAGGCTCCGTGGTGCCTTGGTGTCGTGTTCACATCCGTTGCTCAAGCTTCCCTGTGACGCCCATAGGGGCGTGTGCAGGTCCTGCCGCTGGATCAGTTCATGTTCCCTGCCAAGTCTTCAGCAGCCAGAACCATAGGAGGGAAACATTCCTCTAGCCTGAGAGTTTCTATAACATCTGGCTTGGGGCCTCCTGGAACAGGCTGATCCCTTCTTGGCATCTGCAGATGCAGGGCATCTTGCCCATTGTGCCATGTGGCTGCTCAGTTTGTCACCTGTCACCTCCACAGAGCTGGGCTCCAGCTGTCTGGTTCCAGGCAGCCCTTGGCTGCACCAGCTGAGAGGACAGAGGGGAGCTAGCTGCATCTCTCTAGTGCATCTGCCCAGAGAACCCCCAGTCCTGTGCACTAAGGAGTGTGCCTTTGCCAGCCTGCTGCACATGTAAGGGGAGAGCAGTTTAACTAGCGTGTTAATTGTGTTACCGCCCATCTCCCCTGGGCACTGCTCCTGTGTGTCTAATATGCCTCACTTAGCCTGGGAGCAATGTCTCCCTAGTCTGCTCTGACCTTCTCCATCACTGCCTGGCTGCTGCTCTGGTGGACAGATTTGAGGCGCCCCTAGGTCCATCGGCTGTGTGTGATGGGAGGTGGTGGCGGATCAAGCTGGGAGTGGCTGATCTGGTTGGTGCAGGGTTTTCCCCTTGTGGCGCATGACTGGATGTTGGATGTGTGCACTGGGGAAAGGCGAGTGTTGTGTGGCCCATGCATGTGGCTTCCCCAGGTCACTGTCCAGGAGCAAGTTGGTTCAAACAGTGGCTTAGGAGCAGCATAAGTCACAGCTCGGCCACTCACCAGCCAATAAATCTGTATGAATGAACAAAAGCAGCATCCTCCCATGGAGACCTCCCTCCCCCTGCCTGATGCCCTCCCTCCCGGCCCCATGATGGAGGTTCATTAATGAACCACAGCTTGCTCCCCCCCACGTTGGGAAGCAGCAGTGTCCCAGAACGATGTCTCCCTGGCCACGATGCAGTCACACTGGTTTCCCTCTTCTCTGAGTAACGTCCCTCTTGCTCTCCCATGTGATCCGCAGGCTGGTTCACTCTGGCTCCGGGCGCAGATCACCTTCTCCGGGATCCGAGCTCACCTTTGCAACGAGGACAGGCTCTCGCCAGGGCATTGAAATGCACGTTTTCAGGGTGGAGACGCATCGGGACCTCTCCTCCTGGACCAGGATGCTAGTTCAGGGCTGCCATGCTGCTGCGGAGCTGATAAAGGAGGTGTCCGTAGGTACGCTGGGGGCAGTAACGGTCTGTCTGCCTGCAACCCCGCTGCTCCCTCCTGAGTTGCTCAACTGCCAAGCAATCAGTTGATCACCTACCCTCTGGGACGGGGTCTCAGCAGCTCTCCCTAGCTGAGCAGAGTCAGGCCTATGGGGGCTGCCTACCTTTCACAAACACGCAAGAGAGAGCTGTGGGACGTGGTTTGGAATTAAGACTCATGAGGGACACAAGAAAAGTAAGTGTAGAAAACTTAACACTAAGGCGCCCAGTCTGTTCAGGCTAAACTGCATAGCCTGGAGTCTCGGCTCAGTGACTGCACTTCTGGAGGTCACGGTGGTCACACAGGAGGTCACGGTGGGGCCATGTGGACTGCACGGAGCTCTGGGTCTTGGATGAGGGATGTCCTCTGCTATAACCGAGGTTTTCTTGCTAGTCTCTAACAAAGCCCAGGTACAGTTGGAGTGAATCCCTTGCCCTTCTCTATCTCTTTACATGGGAAGATCTGAGTGCTTTCATGTGCTCAGAGATGGCCAGTGTCCCACTGGAGCTGAGGCTAGTGTGAGGTGATGGTGATAGTGCAGTGAAACTGGAAGGCTGATTACTGTTCACGCCTAACTGGTTAGTGGAGCAGCCTAATCAAAAGGAAGCCAGTTCTCTCTCAGCCCCTGGTGGTGCACAACATACCTTCATTGCCTCGGCACTGCCAAGTGTGTGCTGGTTTCTTGAGTTCTATGGAATGTGTGGCTCTCTTGACAGGCAGACAAGCCTGAGTGGAAAGTGTTAACCATCTGGACTCTGGCCATTGGTCCATCTCCCTAGGGTAAGGACAGCGTCGCTAATATCCGGAGGTGCCGTGACCACAGTGTGATTGGCAGAATCTGTGATTCTGAGACATGCTTCTGGCATGCAGCTGGAGCTGAGCGCTGGGAAAGCCGGCTTTGTTCCTGCATTCCGAACATGTGAGGCTGCCTGTAAACTTGAGAACAGAGAGGAGCTGGGCAATACGGCCCTGGGCAGGGGAAATCATTCCAGCCAGGGGGGATGTGAAGTGGCCCCTGTGCACTTAAAAAACCCAGTCTCAGCCTTGCTAGCTGGAGTCTTCCAGCTTGGGGGCGGGAGAGGGCTCAACAGCAGAGAGACAGAAACAGCCAAAACCGAAGTTCATCTAGGCTGAGGAGAGGGGGGTTTGGGTCAGTCTGTTACCTATGGCTTAAAAGCTCCCTCTAGTGTTCAGAAGAGAATAGCACCCATTCTACAAGTCCTTCCCCCTTTTGAAGGCTTGCCACAGTCATCTAACTGGGAAAAGCTAACGTGAGGTGTCAGGCCAGCTTCCCTCCTGCTGCAATAGCGGCTTAATTGCTGCAAGGAGAATATTGGCTTGGAGCCAGCACCTTTCACAAGCACTACTACAGCCCTCTGCATGATGGTCCTGAGAGTTTTGTGTGAAGGCGCCCTTCAGCCAGTTCTTTCCATCTGGAGCTCCCTCCCTAAAGGCCATACCCTTGTGCAGTCTGCCTGCTCCCCCGCATGCCTTATCTTTCAGCATCTGTAATGGCAGCTGTCTTGTTGGCAGTAGGCGCTCTGTGATGTATCAGGCACCCCAGCGCCCTGTATGGTGCCAGTTGAGGTAATAAAATTGCTGCCACAAGTGGAAAGATTCCAAATGCCACTAGGCATCAAAAACAGAGCATCTGAAAAATAGGCTGTGTGCTAGGGAAAGCTGCTCACGCTGGGACCGTGCAGAAGTGACGGGCTTCTTTTGAGGTTAGGCTAAGGAGCAGTTAATAGTCTCGTATTGTTTGCATGATATACACTCCTTCAAACAAAACCCAAGAATGTACTGCTGATTGGTTTAGCAATAGAAATCTGGCTGGTGAAAACCAGGGCTAGACATGGCAGCAAAGGGAAGACTTGGTGGGAGAGCAGGCTTGGCTGGTCTTGTAGTATTTCACAGGTGAACCAGAAACACCTGAGTGATGTCACACATTTCAGACTCTCCCCACCCCGCACACCCTGCCTGCCCTTTGCTATAGACGAATGCAAGTCCCCTGATACTGCACACAACTGCTTGAAGTCCTTCAAAAACAGGACCTGATGCACGACTGCTGACAGGGAGTGAACAAGTTCCACAAGCCTTAGATGTGGCAGGCAATCTGGGCAAAAAGTAACAATCTAGGGGGGAGTGGTGGACTTGTCCCTTTTTGGCTGCTTTCTAATGTGTTAAAGGCCTGTGGGGTGTGTATGTGGGGGGTTGAATCTACTTGGTTTTTTCCCCTTGGAAATTCAAGTTTTACCTACCCTGGTTTCCTGGGAGACTCCAAATGTCTGGAGAACTGGTAGGATTGATATGCCATGCAAGTAAAATTTGGTTGAGGTGGGAATAGATTTTTATTGAAACTGTTGCACAGTTTTATTTGTTAACTCAAAGGCCTAAAAATAGTTAGTTGGGAGAAAAGCTGTTTGTGAAGATTCAGGTCCCACTCTAACATTAGGGCCTGAAAAAGGCTCATACTCTATCCTGAGTCCTCCCGGAAAGATCGAATAGCCATGATAGCATGACGAACAGAGAAAAACAACTTTTAAAAATGCTTTCAGGGCATCTTTATACATCCCAAACCTACGTCTTGTCCTTCGCAGGTTCCCCTTGATAGGAGAGTCCAGAACAGACTAATGGTCTCTCTGATCATTACTGTGTCCACAGGGAGCAGAGAAACCCCAGAGAGCTTTCTTTTCACGTTTAAGTATTGGATGAGATGGGTTTCGGAAAGGGACTGGAGAGCGGAAGGCAGGCCTAGACTGACAGGCTAAGCCACCGCCCTGTGCATTCTTGGTGAGTTAGTTCATCCTATGTTCCCCGCCCCTCTTGCTGCCAGGCTGTGAAGGCACAAACCAACAATCCTGCTCTTCCTGGGCGCAGATCCTGTGTCATGCTGGGGCCTCAAGGATGTTCCAGGTTGAGCTGCCCCCATGCTGTCCTGGGACACAGCCAGAGTGTCTGACACACCCACACCATCCCAGGCTCCAGCAGGATATTAGTCGTCTTGCACCCATCTAGTTACATGATTGAAATCCCAGGCTTTCTGCTTTTCTGAGATGCTTCCTCTGCTAGTGTCCTCACCATGCTGCTGCTTTGGCTTTCCTGTGGTATTTCTTCCCTCGGCGACATCTGCCAGTCTCTGCTCCTTGGTTCTAGCTGTAGCAGGCGACGGCATCCCTGTCCCAGAGACGTGTCTGCTCTGAACCCCGCACGGTCCCCAGTCTCTTCCCTTTTTCTGTGCAGTGGTTCCATTTGTGTGCTCTCTGAGCTGTCGGCAGCATGGTGAATTTCCCGGCTCCACAAAGGGGACTGCCAGTCTCATCCAGGAGTCAGGAAACACCCTGGTGTCCCTCAGCGATGCTTTTGTTGGCTTGGTGCACAATGGCATGGACTCAAATAATGCTCCTGCGTGAATTCACAGAGCAGCAGATGTGTCCCTTGCAATTCCATGGGCAGCCTGACTTCACGCTGGCCCAGTCTGTAGCATTAATGGTACAGCCGGTGCACTAGTGTGGAAATGCTTCACCTTCACTACACACATCCAGGTCAGTTTGGTCACTCTCCTGCACCTATCCAAGGGCGAGTAGACCCCTTCTCTGCCCTTGTGCTCACAATGAGCACTCAAGGATGATAAGGCCATTGCGGAGAAACTAAATGAATTCTTTGCATCAGTCTTCACGGCTGAGGATGTGAGGGAGATTACCAAACCTGAGCCATTCTTTTTAGAATCATAGAATCATAGACTTTAAGGTCAGAAGAGACCATTATGATCATCTAGTCTGACCTCCTGCACAACGCAGGCCACAGAATCTCACCCACCCACTCCTGTATCAAACCTGTGCCTGAGCCATTGAAGTCCTCAAATCATGGTTTAAAGACTTCAAGATGCAGAGAATCTTCCAGCAAGTGACCCATGCCCCACGCTGCAGAGGAAGGTGAAAAACCCCCAGGGCCTCTGCCAATCTGCCCTGGAGGAAAATTCCTTCCCGACCCCAAATATGGCGATCAGCTAAACCCTGAGCATGTGGGAAAGACTCACCAGCCAGACATCCAAGAAAGAATTCTCTGTAGTAATCAGATCCCACCGCATCTAACATGCTAACATTTTTAGGTGACAAATCTGAGGAACTGTCCCAGATTGAGGTTTCATTAGAGGAGGTTTTGGAACAAATTGATCAACTAAACAGGAATAAGTCATGAGGGCCAGATGGTATTCACTCAAGAGTTCTGAAGTAACTCAGATGTGAAATTGTAGAACTAACTGTAGTTGGTAACCTATCATTTAAATCAGCTTCTATACCAAATGACTGAAGGATAGCTAATGTGATGTCAATTTTTAAAAAGGGCTGCTGGGGTCACTTCTGGAATTACAGCCGGTAACCCTGACTTCAGTACCAAGCAAACTGGTTGAAACTATAGTAAAGAACAAAATTACCAGACACACAGATGAACGTAATTTGTTGGAAGAGTCAACATGGCTTTTGTAAAGGGAAATCATGCCTCACTTATCTACTAGAATTCTTTGAGGGGGTCAACAAGCATGCAGACAAAGGAGATCCAGTGGATATAGTGTATTTAGATTTTCAGAAAGCTTTCGACAAGGTCCCTCACCAAAGGCTCTTAAGCAAAGTAAGATGTAATGGGATAAGAGGGAAGGTCCTGGATTAGTAACTAGTTAAAAGATAGAAAACAAAGGGTAGGAATAAATTACCAGTTTTCAGAATGGAGTGTGGTAAATAGTGGTGTCCCCCAGGGGTCTGTACTGGGCCCAGTCTTATTCAACATATTCATAAATGATCTGGAAAAAGGGGTAAACAGTGAGGTGGCAAAATTTGCAGATGTTACAGAACTAGTCAAGATAGTTAAGTCCCAGGCAGAGTATGAAGTGCTACAAAAGGATCTGTCAAAACTAGGTGACTGGGCAACAAAATGGCAGATGAAATTCAATGTTGATAAATTCAAAGTAATGCACATTGGAAAACATAATCCCAACTATACATATAAAAAGATGGGGTCTAAATAAGTTGTTACCACTCAAGACCGAGAGCTTGGAGTCATTGTGGATAGTTCTTGGAAATCATCCACTCAATGTGCAGCAGCAGTCAAAAAAGCAAACAATGTTGGGAATCATTAAGAAAGGGATAGATAAGACAGAAAATATCATTTCCTCTATATAAATCCATGGTACGTCCACATCTTGAATACTGTGTGCAGATGTGGTCGCCCCATCTCAGAAAAGATGTATTGGAATTGGAAAAGGTTCAGAAAAGAACAACAAAAATAATTAGGGGTATGGAACAGCTGCCATATGAGGAGAGATTAATAAGACTGGGACTTTTCAGCTTGGAAAAAAAACAACTAAGCGGGAATATGATAGAGGTCCATAAAATCATGACTGGTGTGGAGAAAGTAGATAAGGAAGTGTTATTTACTCCTACTCATAACACAAGAACGAGGGGTCTCCAAATGAAATTAATAGGCAGCAGGTTTAAAACAAAAGGAAGTATTTTTTCACACAACGCACAGTCAACCTGTGGAACATCTTGCCAGAGGATGTTGTGAAGGCCAAGACTATAACAGGGTTCAAAAAAGAACTAGCTAAATTCCTGGAGGATAGGTCCGTCAATGGCTAATAGCCAGGAGGGGAAGGGATAGTGTCCCTAGCCTCTGTTTGCCAGAAGCTGGGAATGAGCGACAGGGGATGAATCACTTGATGATTACCTGGTCTGTTCATTCCCTCTGGGACACCTGCCATTGGCCACTGTCGGAAGACAGGATACTGGCTAGATGGACCTTTGGTCTGACCCAGTCTGGCCATTCTTATGTTCTTAATGTTGGGACACAGGGTCCAGTGCAGCGGTTGCAGGCTCTGTCTTTGCAGTGGGGGGAAGGCTTGGGGGCATGTTCTCTGAGCTGGCTGGCTGCTCCTGAGGGTCTGTGCTCTGTTTCTGTGCAGGCTGCATGTTGAATGGCCAGGAGGTGAAGCTCACAGTCCATTATGAAAATGGATTCACTCTCTCCAGGGAGGAGGCAGGCTCCAGTCGCACCCTGTTCCTCTACCCCTTTGAGAAGCTTAGAGTGTCTGCAGATGATGGCATCAGGAACCTCTACTTGGATTTTGGTGGCCCTGAGGGGGAGCTGGTGAGAATGGAGCTGGGGATGCGCCATGATGCTGTATTTTGTGGGGTGGGAAGGATTCGTGTTTGTCCATTGCCAAACTACTGTGTGACTTAATTTCAGGTGCTCAAAGCCTGTCTCAGCTGTCTCCCATCCCACCCCCTGTGGCCCTCACCTCCATGAGCTGAACTCTTTCAGGGCCTGAGAGCTGCCCTGGGAAACTCCACTCTCACAAGGCTCGGTACCATTGGGCCCAGGGCCGGCTCCAGGCACCAGCTTAACAAGCAGGTGCTTGGGGCGGCCAAGGGAGAGGGGCGGCACCTGCGGCAATTTGGAGGCGGCAGGTCCCTCACTCCCTCTAGGAGTGAAGGACCTGCCGCTGA